GATAGACTAATTACCTCTTTAAAGAGATTACAGTTTCTGAGACGAGGGTGTTAAAACATTTTTACCTAGGAGGACGACGTAACAGGAGGTGGAGGAAATTTCATCAACAGGATCTTCAATATTTATACTCCTCATCAAATATTAAGATAAATATTAAATCACGAATGTGGATATTTAGAGTGTAACATAAGTTCTGTGTCTTTAATAGCATTTATAATTCCCACCCCTAAAAAATATTGTCACATACGTCACATTTCAAATACGGTACTAGAAACAGTCGTATAATTGAATACCAACACCGGAGCCAGAGCGAGTGAAGACAGCTCGGAGCTTGCAGCGTAGCAAAGCTGTATTGCTGAATTAGAGCCGCGGGGAAGGAGGGGGAGGGTGTGGTTCTTGTGTGACCTTGAAGCACGCAATTAAGCAACTTAGCCGGTAACGGAGTCAAGATTCGAATTGGGTGCCTCTCTTGTGAGATCCTAAGGATACGATCTGGCAGACTCGTGTAAATAAAGTTTGTCGAGTCCAGTGGGCGTAAGTGTTTTGTTGACTGAGCCATTCATTTACTCGTGACAACCGGATTTAATGGAAAGTGACAGTCGAGAAATGCGTTAAATTCAATTTCTTGAACATTCATCTCAAAAAAGACGTAACTTTATTATATTTTACGACACAGACTACTTTAACTAAATTTGTCAATTTCTATCTAGATCTTCAACGAGACAAGAGACTTAACAGAGAATCATCAGCCTACTTTTTAGAGTTATAACCTATATTTAAATATAGTCTAATTGTTATTGCAGAAATCGGTTCATTTGTAGACAGTTCGTGTTCTTAAAGTATCGGAGCCAATGTTACAAAGCTTTATTCCCACACCGTGTGGCTCTACGCGTCGTTGAATCTCCCTAAGCGTTAGGCCGCCTGCAACTCACGCGGTATAGAAATTGTTCTTAAGATTTTATATCGAGGTCGGAGTCGGATTCCGACTCACATCTGGATATGAATTGAAGGAAGATTTGATTATTAGATCAATACCTTCTCTGCGTGAAATATTATTACGGTTGTGATCTCAAGGACGAGATGATGGCAGCTTAACTAAACACAAAAGCATTATAGTGTCATTAAAACCACTAGACCAAATTAGAAACGCTGTAATATTAATAACTCCTGGACAATGAATAATGTCCAAGAAAAGTGAGTCATTAAACGCGTTGCACTGTCGCCAGAAACCTTCGACCTCGGGCATAAACATAACTAGTTACCTTTCCAACAATGTGACACGTTTCTACGAAACACTCTTCCGAATTCTAATGGCTGGGCTGTTGTTGATACAGGCTGTGACATAACAATGGGATTTTTTGTACAGGTCCGTTTTGGTCTAATTGTTGGCATAATTTTCACTCCCGCGATATTATTATTTCAATTTGGTAAAAGTACGTTGATTTTGTTATGTTTCCATCAAAAGTTACACTGGTCTGGTTTTATTTTTCAACAGTAGACGACATTAGGTTTTTTATTGTCTGGAAATGTTTTATCAATGTTAACAAAGGCGTCCCAAAGTTACACTGGTCTGGTTTTATTTTTCAACAGTAGACGACATTAGGTTTTTTATTGTCTGGAAATGTTTTATCAATGTTAACAAAGGCGTCCCACTAGTCAAAATTAAAGTTTCTCGATAATATTTGTAACATGGTAAGAAGTGTATTAACTAATATTATCATATTACCTTATATTAACCTAACCTACCAGGAACTACGCGCAGTAGACTCCTTGAAAAGCTAACAGTCGCTCAACTAACCTATAAATTTCCCGCCTTTTATGAAACCCGGACGTTCATTACCGTGTTCACAATAGGACACGGGTGATTCAATCCTGAACCGAATTTTCAGATCTCGCCCTTCGACCTCGTAAGACCAATTCTAACATTATCTTACCTGTCTACGCCTAGGTCTTTTAGATGTTCTCTTCTGCAGATCATGGAAATCTAGAAAATATGACGAGGAAAATCTAAGTGGGCTACGTAGCACGGAAGTGAGGTTAAATTGAACAAAGGCAAGTTATTCGACAGTCGAGTAACGTGGACACTACTGACCTCATGCGGACGACACACGAAACAATGCGGAGATGGAAAAAAAAAATGAAGTCAGAAGACGCGCCTGAGGAATTAATGACAACAATTCGCGGCTACGTGCAATTATGATCATAAATAATGAATAAAAGAGTTGCAAGAAAAACAAAACACACATATATAAGGAAATAAGAAAGCACGATGACGTCTTATATTATTCAGGGGCATGACATTACATCAAAACAACTTTGGCAGTGGATAATCAGCAAGAGTACTAAGGCGAGAGAAAAAATCTCGCGAACCACGAGATCAGCGAGAAATAGGTTTACAAAATTCTATTCCGGTTGATACGGAAACAAAGAACATAAAATGGCACGGACACGTGTTAAATTGTAGCAAGTAGGCGGCTCATGTAAGTGGATGGTGGAAGGAAACCGGGATGCAATGACAGACGTCACTGACGTTACATATATACATACATACGCACATGCATACAGAGTGCCCCAAAAATATGTGTACACATTATAATACAGAACACATACGTAGATATTAAGTGCGTCGTGCTTGTAGAAGGCGTGGACAGAGGTTACTAGATTCGCTAAATTCACTATGCGCCTATGCTGACGTATGTAATGGTTTAGTTTATGGAAATCGCCTTTATTTCATTAATGTCGTGTGACTGTTCTGTCGCGCAATAGTTTCTGTACGTGTTATAAATAAATAATTACACAAAACCGCGCGCTAATTTATGCACGTTCCGTATTTCACGACGTGTCAAAATTCACACAACTCCAAACCCACTTATTAATTTGATTTCGACTATAGTTTCCAGTTGTCAGTTTGTAAATCGCCTTCCCCCCCTCCACAGCTGACATGTTCCAACAAAATATTCATGTGGTGTTTGCGTTACTGATCGAATTCACGCTCTAATTCCTCATAAAAGCTTCCCCCCCTTTGTACCATCACCTTTATCCTCTGTTGGTGATGTCCATTTCGACAAAAAAAAAAAAACTCACGAAAAACTTAACCTTTATTGTACGCGTTATAATATCACCAACAATCCCTAACCTGTTACGGATGACAAAATTCCCTGACGCACAGAAAATGTCCCGTCTCTGGGCGATAATCATTTCCATAGATTAATATATAATAGTCCGATGGTTCAGCGCCACAATTGTCCCATCTGACTTCATACACACAGGCCTTACCACAAACAAGAGGTGTGCACCGGGTATTGGTTGCTAAGCCTGGGGGAAAGAGACTGCTGGGTAGACCTAGACGTAGATGGGAGGATAATCTCAGGCGGGATCTATGGGAGATAGGGGTTGAAGGAGATATAACTGTCCTCTATACTTTCTCACTGCCTAACACTTTCTTTGTTCCTTCGACAATTTCATATTCCTTGCATTATCTAATTGTATGCTACGTAAATCGCATACATATCGATATTGCTAAGTATACTGAAACATGAAGGTCTCAGGGTTGACGTGGTATTTTTTATATAAATAAACAAAGGAACAACAGATTAAAGAAGAACACAGAATACTTTTACTTTTGAAAATTTGGGTAATATTATACACCACTTTACATAACCTAACTTGCAGATCCATTGTTAGCGTGGGAACCTCCACACACGAATTGCAAGCGTGGGAATCTTCACATATGAATTGCAAGCGTGGGAATCTTCACGCAGGATTGTGCGTTTAGTATATTAGAACCCTTCCAAGTAACCAATGGCAAAAGAACAATTATTTTAATCTTACCTTGTAGCAGCGATGTATCAGTGGAAAATGATTTTAAATCTCTCTACAATAAATGTTTCTCTTGTACACGGTTGTCCAGTTCCCAGTAGAAATAATATTACATGTCGAAGTTCGCACATAAAATCCCACTAGAATTCATCCACGTCACTGTAAAGTCACAAACTTAATAATCGCTGAAATCTCATCACGCTGATAATAAATTAATACGGACCTTCCGTGTAGCAGTAGAAATGGCCATGACAGACGCTGTATTTAAAATGGCGCGCATCAAATTACTTCCAAAGTCAAAGCACGCACAACTCGATACAAACAAACAAAAATCTAAAGCGATAAATATTAACGTTCCCACTTTTTCATGTCTGATACTGTTGATTTATTAACAATGTCACACTCTTGATTACAAGCACAGTGTTCAAACTAATGTACTAACCTCCGATGGCGAATCAGAAAGTAGCACCAATGAAAGCCGAGATTCGTCTCTTGACAAGGGCAAATATATCAATGCGAGGTGACTCTCGCAAAGCTTTAATAAACACTCATCTTACACAAACGATATCACGGATTTGTTTTATACACAAGAAAGATTACGAACCGGTAGCAGCTACAAACAGCGCCACTTGATCGCGTACCGTACACTGAGTTGAAGCTCACCCCCCACCCTACTCATTCACCCAGGACTACCACACACACACACCCACGTGCTGTGAATTGTGCAGAAATGTAATTGGCGCATGCGCTTTGCAGCTCGAAGCAACAGGCTGGCTTCCTTTTACGCAACTGCTAACAATCCGACCCAGAAATACGAATTCTTAATTACTTATTGGCTAACATCACGTCAAATTGTTTCGGACATATTTCTGGAAACTGAGTGGGGGGGGGGGGCTAAAAAGACATAAAACATATTAATAATGCCTATATTTTGTAAGTAAAAATTCGTTCTAGGTCTACAATATATACCATCACGTTTGTTAATCGGGAGTCTATTGTAATAGTTCGATAAATACAAATTGTAAATAATAATTTTTTTTATTCATACTGAAGTGTTCAGAGCACTGATGTAAAATTAATTCCATATAAACATGACAACAACGCATTACTAAACACGCTGTTGTTACAATAACAACTGAAGTAATTGCTACGCAACAGACAGTTGTGTACGAAAAGTTTAAAATAAACAAGGCTTTCAGCACTCTTTATACAAAAATCAGCGATACCAAAATGTCGTCTATTTACAGCTCCATTTACAGTGCACTTATATGGATGTACATACTGTCTCAAATCTGTAAGTAAAATATTATGCACATTAGTTCAAACAGAAATATTGTGGGTGTGTGTTGGCACGATTGTCACTGCTAAAGCAACTACAGGAAAGAGTCTTCTAATTTCTAAACGTAATTCAAGTGTCATAAATTAAAATGAAAAGTATTAAAAGAATTTTAGAAATGAAACCATGGATATCCCATTCGTCAAATTATATTATCTCATACGTAAAGTTCTGAAATGAGGTTGACAAAAGGGCATGACAAATGTTTCACCTTTCGGTTTACAAAACTTAAATTGACAAACATTTAAAGAAAAAAAATGTATTTGTAGTCAGGGTCACTATGCAAAAGATTTCAGAACGTTACACAAAACACAATAGCCACCGTGGTCTAGCGGTTAGAACGCTGGCCTTGTAATCCTGGGGTCTCGGGTTCGAATTTATAACTTGTGTTGGGCAAGGCCGTGGTCTAGGCAACACGGAGTTTTCCTCCGTGGCATCCCAACAATTACTCCATTCACACACAGAAGAAGGCAATGGCAAACCACTTCTGGATCATCTGCCAAGAACGTATATGAACAGGTCCCAGTCCGAGAAGAGGATGGAAGGATCCTGTTCATATGGACCTGTCGTCAGACAGAACACTAAATAATAATAATAAAAGCACAAAACACAAGTCCAAATACAATATTTTTATTTTAAAAATGAGCGGGAAATTAAACTTTATTCATCCGAGTCTTAATGTGACAGCCTGAAGTTCGTTAAGTTTACGCTATATCTTGGCATTAAAGCAATTTCTAGGAAAAATAATGTGAATAATACCGAGAAAAATATTTGTGTCAGGTAATTTAAATATTTTCAAAAGAGATGTGGGTTGAATAGTTTGTGAGTCCTTGAAAAATGTGGAGACAAAGAGGTTATGAAGGTTATGGTCGGATTCAATAGGTGTGTGTTCCATTAGTAATTTATGATCTGCCCGAATGGTATGTTTCTTTTATATGATTTTGTGCGTGTTATAAAGTTAGGCTTGTTTCCACAGGTGTGAGTTTGGCTGGGCCAGTACAATTATATGATGGTACAGATAAAATGGCTGCAGAATCAGACGATCCACATTCAGAAACGGGGAGAGTACTTCCTGGTTTTCGATCGCCCAAGCGTGGTGATATGGAAAGCAACTCAGCACTAGAAGATTGTGATGAAGAAAAACTTCTCTCCTACTTTTCCAAAATGCAAGAAATAAATCCTGAAAATGTCGTAACCCTGACAAAACTGAAAAACATGAAATACCTTTGCAAGTACGTCCATGTAAAAAAAAAATAATACTCTGTATCTTATTTAATTAAGAATTTTTCATATCAAAAAATTGAATTCTTCAAGGCAGTTTCGGAGCCAATTATTTCGTCCGGTCTTGACGAGTCACGAGTGAAGTGAAATCTTAAAAGAGAGCTTCCTCATGAATCTCGCTCATTCGTCATTTTCAGACAGTTTTAACATTTCGTCCATAAGATTCCATAAAATGCATATGAAGTTAAAATTTTGTTAGAAAGATTTACAAAACAAGAGAAAATTTGAGTTCTTGATCTCCAATCTCATAACTTTTTATTTTCGTTTCATAAAAAGCTTTCTTCGTATCGTGCCAGAAATTATGGAGGGGGCCAGTTTCAAATATGGTCTTGTTCTGTCTGTCACTAATTTTGAGACAGGGTTACGTGTGATGAAATAATCACAGATTTCAAAATCTGTGATTATTACTGTAAATGATCTCTCAAAGGAGAAATACAGAAAATTGCATTTTATACGTCTCGGATTCATGGTTTCATCCGTAGGCGATTCGACACGGACAGTGGATTTAGTACAAACAAATTCGGACTTAAATTAAAATTCATACGTACCCATGATGATTTCTGATATTCATATCTAAGGAAATGAAAGATTTGAAGAAGAAAATTACCTTCGTATTTTACTTTGAGTTTAAAATACGAGTGTAAAATTTTATTATAACACGTTTATTTTAAATATTGTGGTTTTTAAGTTCTCTAACATCAACTGTGGAAATTTTAAAAAAATATTTTAATGATAACTTCTTTGCCTTGTAGAGACGTAGCTCAAAACTTGGACACTATGAACAACTACATTAAAACGTGCAGAGTCCCGGGCGGAGAAGACATTTACAAATCACTTATAAACAGTGTCAGACGACTGCATAAGAATATCTGCGAAGAGGGTGATTTTCAGAAAGGTATATTTAAAATAAAATTGTTTAATTCTGTTTTCTCTTTTTAACTTGAACAATCTGCCCACGATCAGGTTCGGGAGATACACACGACATTAATTTATCTCAATAAATGAAAAGCAATATGGATTAAAATACTTTTCTGAAATAATGTGCCATAACCATGACAATGCTCTTTAAAAGTCATTTTAAACCCCCCACCCTCCAAAAATAAATTCATTTCACCTGTTTTTAAAATAACTTATAATTAATCATGCAGTAAATTTGTAGGGAATGAAAATGTTTTGAAACAAAAGAAAAACAGATTCCGTCAAGTAACATAATGTACGTGTTTAATGTCTAATTTTACGTAAACAGTAAATAAGCTTATTAATTACGTTCCTATTCTCGCGTCTTGACAGAATTCATGAACTATTCGCCTTGTTACTACGACCTGCGTAAGGAGTACGAAACTTGTATTCACCCAGATGACTGGACAGGGAACGAACGAAGCAAATCCGTATGCAAGTAAGTGCACATTACATAATTCCTTAATAATGCCTTAATTTACGTTACAAATTTCGATTAAAAACACAATATAACAAGTAAAGTTGTCCCACTGTATGCCACGTGGGTGCTTCGGAGGAGTGGAGGTATAGCTCTTCTCATTCTTAACCTCAGCTGACGTCAGAATTTCGGTGATACATACTATCTCCATCTTCAGGGCTGACAAACCAACTACTGTCCACAGATCACGAGAAAAACCCTGCAGGGGGAGTCGTTTCTGGTCGGTGCGGGGGGGATGTTTACTGCCTGGTGTACTAGAGGGCTGCTATTGGTGGGAAGTGTGATACGTCAGAGTTTTACGCTACTACACAGACTGAAAACATCAAGCCATTAAGAGTAGCGTGTAGTGAGCGCACCTCTAATGTGTTCTGATAATATTCTAGATTAAATCGCTGTGCCTCTGTGAGGTAATCTTAAAGCTGAACCCATCAGAACACGTGAAAGCCTGTCGTCTGTTGTTCGTTCAGTGGTTGAGGAACGAATGCTTTTAGGATGGGTCGTCACTCATCGCGAAATCTCGCGCATGCGCGTATATCAAATTCCTAGCAGAGATTTTCTCCTGATCTGTGGACTGTAGGCAACATGGCACCTAAATCCAAGAATATCATGATTATCAACGCCACGAAAACGTCGAATCTCAAATAACCCGTACTTTTTTTTTCCATTTGTGTCAGCATGTACAAACAGCTTGAAGATTGCTATTACAACATAACAGTCGGTACATGTGGGGAAGGAGCGGCAACCAACATGAAGACTTTCGTGGGATGGGTCACCGACAGCGTTATCACGGTGAGTTAAAGTTAGCCTAATGAATTTTCATGCATTTATTGATGGTGCCCGAATTTATAACTTGTGTTGGGCAAGGCCGTGGTCTAGGCAACACGGAGTTTTCCTCCGTGGCATCCCAACAATTACTCCATTCACACACAGAAGAAGGCAATGGCAAACCACTTCTGGATCATCTGCCAAGAACGTATATGAACAGGTCCCAGTCCGAGAAAAGGATGGAAGGATCCTGTTCATATGGACCTGTCGTTATACAGAACACTAAATAAAATAAATAATAATTTGTGTGTGTATGTTCACGTGCATGTTTGTCGTGTAAAATCAGATTTAAAGCCAAGTGGACTTAACTCCGTGATTATTAATAATGATTAAACGCTCTAAAAATGTTCACGTATTTGTGAATGACAATAATAAGTACGAATTATGTTCAGGGATGAATTAAGAGGAGATTAAATTTAGGAATAATTATTCATGTCAGTCTTTTGTGTTCTCGTCCTGGTTTACTACGTAAAAAACGTAAAGATTTAAGTGTACAAAAAAATATAATTTTGTCTGTTGTTCTGTATGTGCATATTAATTTCATGCATGCAGGTGTTTTGCGTCATATAAAGCTCTAATGGAATTAGGATACTTCAGTACAATAAAATAAGTTAGCGCTATGCCAAAAATTATTTACACGATTGTGTCTGCTTGCAGGTCAGATGTGAAAACCTGAGCCACAAACCTGTACCTTCAGATGACTTAGACGAATCTAAAGGCAATGGCGGGATAAATGTCTACGTGATGCTCTTCATTATTATAACCGTTCTAGTAATACTAACTATCGTCGGTTTCGTAATTCTGAGAGTCTATTTAATTGGTAACAACAAACCAAAACCAGATACAGACCCCCTACTCCCGAAAGATGATGAATCAGTAAAAAAATAGTTTAAAACCAAAGTAGCGTGAGAGTTTCCATCCTTCTGCATATATTGTAGTACTGTAGAAATCAAATTCCCCATTACTTACTCTCTCTCTCTCCACAGCCAGTATCGCTTCAATTTGGCGACAGTCATTAGTGTATTCCTCAAATCATTTGCGTGTTCGCTCGTCAGTCGATGTGGACTTCTAAAGCCGGGTATAGATTGCGCGCGCAGCTGTTCGTTTGTTTATGCGTAATAACGGAAGCCATTTTACCAGTTGACTTCACACTCCAAAGAGAGCGTGTTTCATGGACGTTCTCGACCCACGTCTTAACTGTGTTGTGTGCAGAAACACGGCCATTACTGATGTTAAAATAGTGGTGGAATAATGTTAAAGAGTTTTAACAGCTGACTACACCAATGAACAGGGATATTCAGTGGCCTACATGTCGACTTGCAAGGTTTACGTCAGTCACCCAAGGACAATCACAGAATTCAAGCAGTGGAGATGCACAGGGAGTAATGGGGAAGTGGTATTTGAGGTTCTCACGGCGATCAGTTTGAAGATGGCCGTCTTGTGGGTTGTAGCACCGTGTAGTCTGGCAGAAAAGCCTCGAGACTACACGGCACTACAGCCCAGAAGACGGCCGTCTTCAAGTAACGGGGGACTTTTGTTACAGAGTAAAACAATGCATACTGAAGGATGGAAGTCATCATTGCGATATCATTTTTAAAAAGACGTCTGTGTCTATAAAATGTTTTGTCATCTTCATTTTGTTAAATAGATAAGTTATAAATTACTCGAGTTATTTTTATTTCAAAATGTTCAGATTCCTCTAGACCATTCTGTATATCGTCAATTCAAGATAAAATACCGTAACTCTTACATTTACAGACTCTTTTTTTGTACATTAATAAAGGGAAATCAATTATTAAAAGACACACTACAAATGAAGCCAAAGAGTTTAAGTGGGACCTTGTTCGTACATAAGCGAAGAGGTTCTTATACAGCAATTAGATTCTTGAAAGTTAATATAAAAATTCAGAATAATAATTCAGAAATGGCAAAAATAACCAACACATTGGATACCACCTGGTAAATGTGAAAGAGCTCTTATAACTAACTAGATGGCTTACCGAACCCGAAGGTTCATCACCAAATTAACCAAAGCCCTCAACGCTGTTATAGCAAAGCAAATAACTCCGTGGACCAGAGTTAATCTTGGGCTCGGTCAGTCAAAAACTTCTGCGAAGTTTATAAGACCGTGCCACCACACCTGTGCCAAGTCAGATAAACCCAGACCACGCATTCACACCACATTTCTTCAACATCCATTTTAATACCGTACTCACATCTGTTACTAGTTCTGTCACGTGGTAATTTTCCTTTAAAGGTTTTCTGACTATCATCTCATGCGTGCTACATGAAATGCCCATCTACATTTCCTTCATCTGATCGCCTTAATAAAACACGGCAAACGTCACAAATTATGAAGCTCCAAAGATGGCAGTCTTCTGGGTCGCACGGCCATAGCCTCGTACAGGTTTACCAACCTTTCGAAGGTCGTTGCTGCCTCCATCATCAGGGCGATGTTTCCATGATACTCCTAAAAGTCTAAGTTCCATAAAAGGGGGAGGGGATTTTTTGACTGGATCAGCAACTATCATCTACACATCACATATGAACTGTATTTTCTTACTGATGTTCCCTACGCATGAACACGCTAGAACTTCGGGTTATAATATGAAGTACGGTGGATTCCGGTTAACTGGGGCGCACCGGGACTAGAATGCTTTGGCCCGATTAAGCGAGGTTCCACGTAACGAGTTAAAAAGCCTTGTTCTTTAAGATTTGTCCCAAATGAACGGCCGCCCCGATCAACCGACGGCCCAATTAATTAAACAAACTTTAACTTGACATTTGCCTGGAGGGACTGAGGAAAACAACATTCAAATTGTCAAATACATTAACGCTCATTATAAATCATTATGACACGTCACACACAAGTTGGTCTGTGTCATTACATAGCGGAATTTCACATAAAAAAGATTTTATTTAAATAAAATGAAAGGGCATCATTTCAACGACAGACTGCGAACTCGGTAAATTTATAAACCTCGTTTTATTCTACTTTTGCATACATGATTGTTACAATAAGCCACGGCACTCGAATGGTTTATGCCATTTTAAGATTGCCTCAAATTACGAGCGGTTTACGTTGCAGGCTAGTTTCAACGAACGACAAATTTCTGACATGAGAGGGGTGAATCACGACACGACGACTGGGATATCGGACGTGCCGCTCATTCACGTGTATATCTCCATCTTCAAAAGCCAGCAACAATTTCATTTTTATGTTTGTGTAAATAAACAAACTCAAATGGAAAACTTTGCAGCAGTTACGTACACGGACTACGGTGCGTCTGAAAGCATTTTATAAATCTCGTAATCAAAGTCTTCTCGAATAATGACTTTTCGTACAGCATCAGAACAGAACGATCGTCTCTGACGATGCGAGGATGCGTTGAAAGGTAACGTTTCCATTCATTTTGTGACGAACAAGCAGCGTGAACTACCTGCATCAATTCAATCAGACATCTCCGCTTCGTACTTCCGGCACTAGAAGTCTCTGAATTACAGCCGTTAAAGTGGCATGGTGCAGGAACGTGATATCAGCGTAGAATAAACAGCGTACGATGATTTAATTTCTGACATTTCACTGATTAACATTCATCAACAAAGTTCTGTATGGAGATGACTGAGCGGACACGAGTACCGTCAGATGCCGTACGTTCCATGTTGTGTAGACTACAAAGCACAACAACCCAGAAGATATCTCAACTTCCATCCTACGAAAGTCCCGAATACTAAAATGCGTTCTCCGTTTTTCATTAATATCCAGCATCTGTCAAGGTTCTTCAGTCCGAAGCTCTCGACAATCTCACAAGACATTCCGTTAATCCGTTATCCACATTAAAAGAGGTGTATAATTTAAATTAAGGTTATAATAAATTACTTCTCACCGCTTGCAACGTCTGTAGAAGAGTTGACATTTCCAACATAAACTTTTTCACGGTTACGTAAGTCCGCGCCCTTTCTGAACTCTTTACCGTCAAGCGTTTCTATTATGAGAACGTAAGAATTTTATCACAAGAAAGCGTTATTAATTTTTATATAACATCTTAAATTAACCAACGATCCGTACACATGGCAGACGCAGTAAATCTATGGTCCCACAGTTTTATATTCCAAACATGAAAACAAATAGTTTACTAACCGGTTAGGGCCGTAAGCTCATGATTTTAATAAATTCTTGATGTCAACGACTCTAGATTTGATTTCTGGAGCGTTATCTTTAACGCATTCTTCCAGCAACGGTCCAAATGTCGCAGACAAGCCGCGCAATTCATCTGCCTGATTCAGAGCTGAAAGTAAAAAAAATATCAACATTTAGAAACAAAATTTGTTCTATCAATTTCTGTTTCTGAAAAATTTTAATTATGATATGACTGTACAAAATGGAAATTATGCTAGAAGAAAAAAGAATAGTTAACGAAACAAAGCGAAAATAAATTCGCAGAGCGCATACATAAGCACAAGTACGAGGTATCATTCTGAAGTTAAAGCGACTTACCTCTCAATTTTTTTCCTAACAAATATAAAACATTTAAAGCCTCTTTTCTCAGTCTCGTATGCTTCAGTACACCTGCAAGAAAGAAATGACACAGCGATCACTTCACCCAATTCAAAAACTAAAATCTTGATCAGTTTGTAAACGAATGCATTTCGTTTCAGTATACAAGACATCCAAAAAAACTGGATACTAATCAAACAGTGCGACAAAAATTGTAACAAGTAATTATAAAACATCTAACCGTTTAAAAAATCAACGAACTCTGTGGCAAGAATTTCCACTTTTGAAACATGGAGACGTCAGTTAGAACACGTACTGACTGGTTCACAGGTTACTCAACAACTGCAGGAAACAAGGCCTCGTAACTCACACGAGAATGAGCCGGTTTAGCGCCAGACGCAGCAGGTCAGCTTACATATCAGTAGTCCGAAGCTGGTCTGAGATTCGTTGACCGTCGCAAGCATGCGTGGGAGGGAGGGGAGCACAGGCAGACAATAGAGTCCTCACTCGAGTGCTATCGGACGAGAGATTATCGCGTTTCGGCCGCAGAAGTAGCGTGCGCGGGTTAAGGAATGTGCCTGCATTGATGGTGTTTTAATAGTTCCTTCAGTTCACAAAATACAGTGCAGCGTGAAAGTCAGCGTATCAAAACGCCACCGACCGCGTCAAAATTAAATGGGCAACAAATTTTCTCAGTCAAACTACACACGCTCAGAGAGACTTTGCCATCTTGCCCCTGCTCGCCCATTCCACTTTCCCCTCCCCTCTTAGAGAGACATTGCCCAAGTTCAGAGTTATTTTGTGTCCGCAGCAATTTCAATAATTCAGCCCAAAGATGACGGAACAATCCTAGCGGGGGGAAAAACCACAAAGAAACAAAAACTGAATACACATCATAACTCACCTAACGCAAATTCTAAAGCCTGGTATACTTTTGCGAGTATTCTACGCAACGCCTCTCCGTCTGCATCTTCCAGTATCATTGAGCTGTTAAGTAAAGTCAAGCGATCAACATAGCAACCCAGGGCTGCCACAACAGCCACCTGCACGGGTCTCGTACTGTTAGCCAAGCAGGACACGCACTGCTCCAACACCTGCTCACGATAACGAACTGAAACAACAACAAAAAATTGACGACAATGACAATTCTGTACCAATTACATATTAAATGCTGATATCGTGTTTTAACACAATTTAAGATTCTTTCAAATATGAAGTTTGTTAACCATTCTCTGAGGTAGGATGTGAATTTTAAACGTTATTTAAAGGAGTTTTGGATTTCGGGGGGGTGGAGGATTTAACATTAATGGTGCGCCAGCGTGATACACAGCAGCTGGACCACACGTAACACAGGACACGTGGCCGACGGAAGTTAAACACAGTAAAGTCCTAGTATGAAAATCTCTAGTGGCTATTTCATTCATTACAATTAAATTTTATCGTTAAAATGGAGAAAAATAAATATATCGAGCTATATAGCATGAATTATACTAGAACCACAGCAAGAAAGAGTAAATAGCGAAGTTCACTGCTCAATAAATAATTTCGTAAACTTCTGATCTGAAAATCATGCGCCTTAAAGGGCAGTCACTGTTTTGTGGAACATGAAGTAACGACGCAGCAGACGGACGAAAACGATATCTGATGGCGGCTTTACCTTGTGTGAGATGGTTGCTAGGCCAGGCTTTACCAAGAGTGTCATAAACAGTCTCAGTTAGCTGCGTAAGTATCGCCTGCCTCTTGGAGTTTCCTTCCGAGTTTCTTTCGTCGTCCGATTCCTCCGTTCCACTTCCCTGAGCAAATTTAAAAAAAAGGGGGGTAATTGTATCTCCGCTGCTATAATAATACTTAAAACGTACAATAGAGGAGATATCTTTCCTATTCATTTCTTTACTTGGTCCAGTTGAAGAATTGTGACGAGAAATGCGAAAATTTATATTTCCGCTTGTACATTATCAAAATTCTAACCTAACCCAAAAGCAAACCAATCTGACATCAGCTCCTCGAACTGTGATTTCAACAACACGCAGCGCTTATTCTGAAATCTGTGCTTGAACTGTCATATTCCTATATCTTGCAGTTTTAAACAATCTTTCCTTCCGCACGTCAGTCAATCCTAACCCCGAATCAAACGCAATAAAAATTTTAAAGAAATAAAAATTTAATATACCACTTAAAAATGGACGGCTTTCATTTCAACTCTGCCAAGTTCTTATTACTAACATTTTTTTGCCACTGTTAAAACTACTTACAATTCCCACTCTCATTTGATCATAATCCGCTAAGTTACATCCTTATAAAACTAGACTACACTTACCTTAGCTAACGTATCTTCGACAATGGAATAAACTTGGTCAAAACGATCAATATCTAAGGCCGAAAGAGTATCCCCCAATGCTTTTAGAGCATGCTGCTTGTAGGCAAGCTGTTCCTTACGACACTCCTTCAACATGGCGTCGACTATAGTATCCACCACGGGACGAAACTCCTCCTGCTTCAATTCTGACCTTGAAACGACACAAAGTGGCACGTTTATTTATGACAAATTTTATTCTTTACAACATTTCCCCGCTCGTCATAAAAGTAATTTATTTATAACTTGCATCACGTTAAACCGGGTTCTGAAACCAGGCCTACTAACGGACTAACGTAAATCACTGGCGCATCTTACGAGTCAAAATTCTTTCTTCTTACGGTAGTAAAAACATCACCACGACGGCCTATTTATAACTAAGTTTATGTAAGTGATCGCATATCTACATTTTTAACGTAATTGTCACAAACCACACTGCAAGAGACATAAAATAATATATTCTGAGACATACTTGCAACTAGAGCAGATGGTAGCCAACGCCTTTAACAAGTTTTCCTTCCCGTTCCAGGTCCGTCCATTCAAACCCGTCACCAGGATATCAATCAGCGAATTACGGCGTTCAGCAGACATCGTCTGCCCAATCTTTGTCGCCACCGTGCCAACAGCGTTTGCAGCCTAAACAAACACCAACGACTTCTAATAGTTGTAAGGACGTGACCTTATAGCAGCACGTGTAAAGAATCATCTCGTATAATATTAAAACTCTGCCAAATATTTTGAAAATTTCGGAAATTAGAAAAATACAGTTTATGTTCACCTGAGCCTTCATTGTCCAAGACGGAGATTCTAAAGCAACTTTCAGAAGCTCGCAAATCTCAGCTGCATGCTGCCTGATGCCTGACTCTGTCCCCGGAGTTGCTTCATGCCACACATCTTCCCACACGCTGACACTACTGCCATCTGCAATGAAAGAATCCGCTGTATTCACATCGGTCAGTCCACGAGGTGTGCACTGTCCTTACAAAGCGTAATAAAAGCTGGTTTGCTAACTCTTTAACGGCCGCAAGCACGTCGCAGTTACGAAAATAAGACACAGCGATGACGACTATGAACGCGGAATGAAAGACTATCGATAACAAAGCCAGAAACATGACTTACCTGGAATTTTATTAGCGTGCATTGCAAAAAATACTAATGGTATAACAACTGAACTGTGTTCCTTCAGGACGTCTTGATTGTGCTGACCAATTGCTTGTAACGTGTACGCGCAAGCAGATCGCACTGATTCATCTGCAAACACAAATAATTTAAATGAACATAAATTCAATTTTCTGCAACAAAATAACGTAACGCCCGCCCAAAACTGTGTTTATCCTCAGAACAACAGTGAGATATGTGAACTCTCCTTACCTTCCTTCTCAAAGTACCAAGTCTGTATCTTAGCAAAGAGCTTCTCCAGACTAGAATCCTTCGCTGTGCTAACGAGGTGGCCGATAGTAACGGCGTAATTCTTTCGAACTGCGGCGTTTCTGTCTGTCAGGCCATTCAAAAGGGCGGCCAGAAGTTTCCCTGTTACGTACGGAAATAATGAGAATTAGTCTTTTCATAAAACAAGTTTTATGAAATCCCAGTCTAGAAATTATTATTCTCTAAAATTGCAGCAGAGATCTGAAAAGCTTCAGTTGTGTTACGTTATTTCACATCATACTAATATAACCTGACTCCGCCCCCCCAGTAACATAACGCACCAATAAGGAGAGGGCAGCATTATTTTGGTCATTCCTCAAACTTACCCCAAAGACGGAGAAAGAGCTAGTGTTCAAAACGGCGGCATTCGACTCAAGACTAACGCATCTGAATGATCGAGAAAATTTTATAACATTCATGTTCCACTAAAGTATCAAGTCTTACACAGGAATTACATACACATCTGGTGACCGACATTAAATTCCTAAAATGGAATAAAACGGAGTAACAAAATAATACGTGAGCCAACAGCAAAACCACGCAGTGTAAGGAGCCAAATTAACAAACTACTAAAACACGCAGAATGGGCCAAAAGTCCTCGAATGTAATCAAGAAATCGCAACGCATGGCAAAAAAACGTGACCTTGTTCCATCAGGTTGGGCAGACAAGCGGTCCGTCCGCCACTAGATGCCCGTAGTGCAAAGTGTCACATGACAAAAAGTAATGACTTTTGGCCCAGCCTGTACTTTGATAAAAGTCTGCATACCTGTGTATGGCTGCAGTTCATGCTTGAGATGATAAGACAACAAAACTATCAGGTGCACACATGCCACTCTTGTTCCAAGTCCCACTGAACTTTTCATCAACTCCAGCACCTTCGGAATCAGATCGCCCAAAATGCTGGCATCCACGTACTGGAGACACTGTTAATCAGAAACATTCTGTGGCAGCCGCAATCACAGCTTCCCAAATTACAAAATTGTAGCGCTGGAAGGCGGACGGAACCAGGACACTTTGTTCAGAGTCTACATACGTAAGAGGATTGGCGCTGGTAGCAGACCTCAGATGATTACACATTTATATGGCACGAGGCAAAACTGTGTTAACACAACGGCAGAATTTTATGTCGCCAGAATTTCTACCAACGGAAATTATTAATCATGGAAACAGATCGCTACATTGTTCACGTTCAAGTAAAGCTGTCCTGGTATAGATCATCGTGGCACTTTGGGGCAGCCAAATGAAAGCGGGCCCAAGTACCACGCACATTTACTTACGATTAAACGACTAATCAAACAGACATACACGCATGCGTGGTTCCTTAATTAAAATTCTTTTAATTACCTTTGCTACTGTCTCAGTGGTGTAATGACTCTTAGCTACTGACGCTCTCACGGAATCTATGACTTCCTGCGTCTGCCTTTCTGCCCCAAATTGTACGCTAAGTTGGCTGAGGCCACGAGATTCCAGTTCTCCCGTAGCTTCAAGGAGAGCAGGAATAAGAAGAGGAAGATGAGGTTTTAGAAGATTCCCAGCCGATCCCACTAGCTGCGATATAGTTTGTAAACTACAAATGAGCAAACAACATATTTAAATATGTAGGATTTGAGGTTTTCGTGGCAGTTAAGACATTAATGATGGCCTCCTGGCTTGTGGTGCCATCTGGCGGAAGACCTGCAGAAACAGCATATGCGTCAGAAATGTTGACGCCCACCTGTAAGGCCACACGTCACCACAACCCAGAAGACCACCAACAATGATCTTGTAATTAATGAAAGAAAGTACTCGAATATTTCATGTGAGAAACAATGAACCTGCTCTTACAATAACGACAGATAAGCAACAGAATACGAGCTCAAAAAAAAATTCAATGCCCCACACAAAGCAACCTACCTTTAATTTTAAAAAAATGGATACTCCTACAAACACACAGAATCCAAAAATGATTTGAGCTATGTCCTCCTTCTGGCGACGTAGTCAGACAAGAATCATTAAATGAACGGCTAAATTCCGTACCTGATCGCCCGTACTTCGGACACAGTATTACAGATTCCTGAATTAAGGAGGACAGGCAGGATAGTTCGCACCATTTCCTCACCCGCCTTCCCGTTGCTCACGTCACAACAACGAACACACAACTGGAAAAGACATATGAATTATTCAAGATGCACCACTTCATCGAGAGAGTGAGATAAGATTACGCAAATAAAGATCTCTAAAGAATGAGAAAGTTTGGTGCTTCTAAATTTTAATACAGATAAGTATATTAAATTCAACCATCAGGACGCCCTGACGCAGGCAGCAAGCGCTTCTGAAATGTCAGTGAACTTGTACCAAACTACGTGGCGCAACGTCCCAAAGGAAAGAAATCTTCGGGAAGAGTATACTTCAACGTCGATCCAGAGCCACTGACAGAATTTAATATAATACGGCGTGACATCCCAAAAGTCAATGACGTTCGTACTCACCGGTGCAAGAGTCTGAAATCTGACCTTATTCCCCGCGACCCATACAATTCAATTCATACATTAAACAGTACTGTCAACTTAAAACAGTACTACCAAACTGAAACAAACTTTGAGTAAAGTTTACATTGAAGTGTTTACATATCTCTAAGTATAATCAAACATAGCAACAAAAAATATAATACTGTAACAAATGACAAACCTTCGATAACACTTTAGTAGTATTTTCTGCCGCATGTCTTGTCCCCTCATGAACATCGTCCATGACCCGCAACAGCTGCGTCCACAATAATGGAAGACTGTCCACACAGTCACTCATACTTCTGCTGCCACCGCCTCGAAGGAAGTCCGCCAGAGCGAGACAGCAAGACAAGCGGACGCGCCACTGTGGCGCCGTTAAGTTCGCCAATAGATCAGCCAGAATTTCCTTGTGATAGAGGTCAATCTAAACATAAATAATGTCAAGAAAACGGTGAAAGACACAAGAACAAGATTAAAGAATGATATGGAAATCACCATCTTTTATATTCAAGCCTCCCAGACGCTTTCAGTAACAGACTGTACCAATTTATTTCATTATGGAACACAACAAAAAATAATTAATATGTTGCTACTCACAGTTTTCTGCGTCTCCGGTACGATAGCGTGCCATATACTGGTCATGGAGTTCTGAATCTTTGGAGTTGGATCAAACTGATAACGGTACAACCGTGGAATAACAACAGGCAGATACTGAGACAGCTGCTCCCCGGCTAACGACGCTATAGTTGAGAAGCCAAATGCTGCGCCCTACGCAGATAACGATAGCTCAATAACACACAAATACGTCAGCCGTCGCCGCATGGACACGACCTCGTATAATTTCCAAAGTTTTAAATTAAATCTCAATTATCACTAATTGTGTAATAGATCTAAATTATTCTTTTAGACACAGGGCACATTATTAAACCTGCAATTTAAATACACTGAGGAAGACCTGTAACAAGTGAACATGAGCAAACACTTTTCAGGTAATTAAACCAAGTTGCCGAAGCCCTTAACTTTGAGACGTCATAGATGAAGAATAAGTTAATAAAATTAAATTAAATTAACATGCGATTCACTGTAACGCTGCTGCACAAATGTCAAAAATTTTATATCGCGCAACAGCGAAAACAACAGCAAATGAGTCAGTAACGTAATATAGTTGCTCGTATTTCAGACTATACCACACGACGTAATAACTTCACACTAATAACAATTAATACCTTCTTTGAATTCCAAATAGCATTGTGATTAGCAAGTTGCATAAACTTGTATATAAGATCAGGCTTGTTCAAGTCAGAAGCCAGAGAACACAGTTCCTTGTACGTTGATAAGTTACCACTGAAACAAAAAATATGTGGGTATCATAACGAGTAATAAAGGTTTACAAGACTACATCTGTAATAATTATGTATCGAATATTAATAAATAAGTAAAGTATATACGTAACATCAACAGAAAATTCTGGGTTCCAGAAATACGCCTCGCATAACAAATGAGCAATTTAAATGTAATACTATCCAAAATTTGAGTCTCACAAGTTTGAACAAATGAAGGTACTACTGTATTTTTAAACAGGAGAGAGAAGGAAGCACGGAATTCTGAAACAGGAGCCGATACAAAGTAACGCAAAATAACAAACTACAATGTTTCCCAGATATTAAATTTTCCCATATAAGAAGTTTGGTTTTCAAAGTCCAGCCGAAATTCTCATAAGAATAACATAAACATTTCCTGCAAGTCCTCCTTTATAAAGCTTTTCCGCTTTAGAAGTTTATTTTGTAAGAAACTTTCTTGTTCCCGTGTTCACTGACGTAGATCATGCCGTTTCATTTTCACGTACAGAGTATATGACGTGCGCAAGACAGCGTCAGCATTAAATGCGTTGCATTGGAAGATAATTATGAAGGTGCCTGTGAAGTGTCGCAGAAAGATTTAAATATTCAAAGTTTGATTCAATAAACGAACCCAGAGGCACAAAAATATCTGTCAATTCAGGCCTCAACGAACTTCACTCCTTCTGAAAATAGCAAAGAAAAGTAAACAAGAATTATTTTAAGGTGGCTGTCGTCTGGGTTGTAGTGCCTCCATCACTGATGGAGGCAGCAAGGACCCTTGAAATGCTGGTAAACTTGTACCAGACTACACGGCACGACAACCCAGAAGACAGCCAACTTCACGGACTCACAGCCGTGACGACGTCAAATCGCACAGAGATTTATTTTACCCCGTCGGTGATTTTCCAAGTGCTCCTTCCTCGAACAGTTTTGTATCGCCAGTGACTTGTGTCACGCTGCGACGCCCCGATGTCAGCTGGTCCAGCAATTGAGTAACAAGACGACTGCGAGACTCTTCATCACCACAGTCATACACCAGGCCCAAACCTTTTGATGCTACATCCTGGACAATATCTACAAGAAAAAACAAACATTACACGACATGAACAAATAGTTATTGCTGAAGTTCTGTTCATAAGTTGAAGAAATATTTGTTACTGAAAAAAGCAAAATGGATAAAGTTAAAAAAAAATAATTATTACAAGTAGTGTCCCTGAAAATACATGTACTTTTATTATAAATTTTAGTTCTCTATTCCAATTCTAGCGTACCACAGAAAAATTAATTACCGAAGCGTGCCGTGAGAACCAAAGGGCTGAGAACTCCTGCTGTAGGCAGTTATCTCTCTGAACAAATAAGATACGCTACAGCAAAATATGAGACTTAAGGAAATAGTCTCTAGTTGGTACTACGCTACCTAAGAATCTGTCCATTTCTAAAGCTTTATTTCGTCCTAGATTTATATGGTAAAGTGCTTCTAGTCCCAAGTACCCCACTTTTCATTTAATTGCAACTTCTGGTATCATTTAGTGTATCAACCCAGTCCAGGTGTTCTTTAAAAAGCAATAATACTGATAAACTAAAAAAAGTCATACATTATCAAATACCTGTAACAAGTAATCTCTAATAAAATTAAAATTCTTTATCACACTAAAATTCATTGCAATATGAATTCTAAGAATCGACAGCACGAAAAATTACCACTGTTTTCTGACAGAAGGTCCATAAATGTTGTCTGCATTGCATCTAGTCTCTGCTTGACAGGTTCACGTTTTGGGCAGTGCTTCAATAGGGCAAGCAGCCAGATTCCCGTCGCCTGCGAAGAAAAGATTTCAAGTTCACCGTTCAAATTGCATATTAGCATCTTATAACACAGGACCTCGTACACAATCTCACTTTAAAGTCGTGAACTCCTGTATAATTATCGATTCAGTGCATTTAAATTGCCTGATCCGCCAGGAGCCCACTCAGCTACACAGATTAAAACTTTGACGGACAAGATAACGATGACGTAGGCACACGAGCAGGAAACTCCATTTGCAACTGTTGTTTTTATGGTTGTGATGAGATCAGATTTGTCTCTGTGGAATTGCGGCTGCCAACAGCGTAACTGTCCATCCCCCAGATGATATATGAGTGAAAATGGAGCAGCGGTAGAATGATACTGACGAGGGCCATTTTCTTCAACACAAATTACATGCGGACTCTCCAGAGCACAAACCCAGGCCTTCCGTGGTGAAAAATTGATGACCGACCACTTCAGCTACGGAAAGACTCATTGCCTTAACTTAAAAATTAACTGTTAGTGCAGAATAAGGACATGGTCACAGATCATCTCAAACATTATGTTGCTCATTTTGATAACGAGTGCGTGTAATTACTCTGACGACTCAAAGTGTACGCAACTTACGCAGAAGACATTTCGTGGGTCTTCACGACTAAACATACAGACCTGTTTTGAGTTTGGATGTGGATCAGGGGCAAACTTGTTGAGAAGTTCGTCAAGCAACCACTGTAGATCCTTGTTTCGAGCAGCAAGAATGCCATCCAAGCCTTGCGGCTCGTATTCTGATTCAAGAGTCGTCCACACGTCACGAGCAAATGGAGACATAACTCCCTGAACGCAACAAACTAAAGCTTCCCCCGCAGTGAAGTGAACTTCCACATCCCGAGTCTAAGATAAAAGAATGGAATTAGAATATATTTCATGAAAATAAGATTACTATAATATGCTGTTGAGAATAAGAAGAAAATAAGTATGAATGCATTAGCAATGCCTCTTTAATTTCACTTAAGAGATCCACAATTTTTTCCCTTATGATGATCTTAAATTGTTTTAAATGAAAATGTCCATAATGTAGGAAATTACTTCAGATGGATTACCGTCAATTCAAAGAAAAGATTATAAGGGAGATTTACAAAACTCACCTCCTTTGCCATGTCAAGGAAACCTTGAATGATGTCACGACTGTGTGGGAATTCTTCTCCGACACATAAGAACCCGGCTGCTTTGGCAGCATGCTCCTTTACCTGGAAAATTTAATATGGAAATGACTAAGGTATTTTATGCATTATTATTACGATTATTGTTGTTGTTGTTCCTTTCCTTTCACGGTGATGAAACTTCGGATTCCACAAAAGGTTGGAAACTTGAGTGTCTGAGTGACTGTTGGCTTCTCACGAGGGACTCGGCTCCACGGAGTAAGGAAGCGTGAAGTAATTTCATATTCCACATACAATGAATTTCAAAACTTGTATTTTTTATTCATTTTTTTTATTATTTTAATGTACTGAAGTGTAGAATCAACATGACTAAACGGAAAAAAAAACTTATGCATAAAGACGTATTCTTTCGGGACAGGAACGAAAGACGTAGATCATAAAATGTTAAGTTTGTGTAAATTATGCAACATGTGGGTATGCAATGTCATCTAATCTATCAATATTTTTAGAAAATAGAAATGTAGTTGCTCTTGTTTAAATGTACGTGTGATATGACGTCGCATTTTGTTTGTTGCTTCAGCGTAAACACCGCACAAAGTTGCTCTTAAAGTAAATTGTCAGATTCATGCTTTGAACCGTTTAACCTCCAGCCCTACAAATCCACCGTCTGTTGGATTAAAGACGGTCGGACCCCAGTTCCTCCCTGAACAAACACTAAAAATAAAATCCCTCAACAATCTGTTACGAATCAAAACCAGTCACCAAACTTGTAATTTTTTTTTTTAATTTCCATTGCTAACCTTTGTTGAAAGCTTCGTATTATTCATGACTGCAAACAGTTTCTTCACCAAATCCAACTTAGACATAGTCATACTTCTATCCTCTGCTGACACCAATGACGGTCCACTTGGAAGTGGTAGAGCGGTACAGTGAGCCAGTTCACCAATAGCAATGCAGGCGGCCAAGACAAGCATCGAATGTTGATGATTCAACTGGCAAACTGAAGATGTTGTAATATAAATACCACACAATAAAATTACTAAACTAAACAGTAAAATAAGAGGATGAAGATGTCTGTCTTCTGGGTTGTTATTCCATTTAGTCTGGTAGTTTACCGACATTTCAGAGGTTCTTGCTGCCTCCGTCATCATGGAGGCAGCGAGGGCCTCTGAAATGTCGGTAAACTTCTATCAAACCGCACGGCGCAAAGACCCAGAAGACAGACATCTTCATACTGACCACCATGGAGACCTGAACATTCACTTGATGAAGTAAGATAGAGACGTGGAACGAGATGACGGC